CTACCGAAGGAGACAATAGCACACAGACCCCTCTGGCTACTTCAAACAATCTTGCACAGCCATCACTGTAAACCTTAATCCTTTACTTAATAGGAGCAAACCACTTCTGAAAATGAAATTCACCTACATTACTTCCAGACCTGTTTTAAAAGAGATAATTCTGTGGTATTGGAAATTTGAGACAGAGGAATTGTAAGGGGAAAATAAGGGTTTTTAAAACACATCTTTTTTGGAGTGGATTTTTTTGGTCACAACTCCACATAAACACAATACCAAAAAAAAAAAAAAGTTCAAGTCAGATGTGCATTTGATCTTGTAAGCACACAGAATACTGCCATCACCATGTGTTTGGTTCTTTGCAAGTGAGCGGGTCACTCCCATTTCTCAGGGAAACCCAGATATCAGATGTTTTAATCATTTGCAAATATTTACTGAAGGCCTAACAGTGTGCCCAGGCAACCTCATTCCGTAACAAATTCAGTGACTGCTGCGGATTCCACATAAGCTCTCAGTGCCTGTGGGGGGCAGACTCTCCCACTTTCCTGAGCCCCTCCTCAGTAGCTACCAGCTTTGCCTGGATCTGGCTCCGATGGAGACCTACGAGTGGGAGCGGGGCACACTTCCTTGGCTCCCTCTATCATTAGATTTGCAGGCCTTTTATTCTCTACACAGATACCGTCGGAAATGCAGTTGCAGTGATTACAACCTGTCATCTGATAGTGGTCAACCTGTAACCAAAGCACACGAAGAGCTTATGTGGGAGGACACAAGCACTTGTGAGATAATTTTCGGCATTCTGAAGTTCTCCCATAAGCTCCGACTTGTGAAATTGACCACATGAAAAATGTGCCCCAGGATCAAAGTGTTAGTCGTCAATTTTTTACACTTGCAATTCAGAATGCACACCCACACTGCATGCTCCAAGTTAAACGCTGAATGGAAATTCAGATTTTTAAAAAAAGAAAGAAACCTTTCACCATAGAAGGGAAGGGGTTAAAGCAACCAAGCACTTGCAACACTTCATTTGCTTCCTTCATACAGATAAGGCTCAGGTAAGTATCCAGACTGTCCTTTTGATCATGGAGTTTCCAGGAAAACCGGGGAGGGTGGAAGGAGAGGGGCCTTAGTAACAATGGCTCTGGGGCATCTTAAATGATCTTACATGAATGGCAAGAAAGTTCATTCCCACTGGTGTGCTGATAGGTAACTGATTATGCTACATTAACTTGGGAGTTTTCCAGAAGAGAAGGATGAATCTATCTGAAAGGGTTTTTGTTTTGTTTGGCTGCATAAAACCATCAGCATTCCACTTCATATAAACAACAGTTTTTACTCAGTGAAAACAGGTCCAAAATTAAGGGGAGATGCTCACAGCTTCAGGATTGGCTCGTTCTTTCTCTCATTTCAGCCACCCTTTCCTACAACACCTCTGCCTCCAGCCACAGCAGCTTCCTCGATTTCCAAAAAGCCCCGTGAGGTAGCAATGTGCTAATTTCATCAACTCGGTAATGTTTAGAAGGGAACATCAAAGATTGTATTACTTAACTGTGTCAGAAGAACCAGTTTAATGGCTGGATAAAGATTCTTTATTTTCAAACAAGACTCTTAAGGGGGTGGGGGGGACTGGATGATTTCTCCCCCTCCCCAACCCCATCCCTAAGAGTAAGACAGAAGACTTATAAATATTGCTTTCACATTTTCCTAAGAAGGCCATAAAGGATGCCCATCAGGACTAAAGCATGTCCATGCAAATACAGAGACACAGCTTAGAGGGAGAGGCACCAGACATCAATCATGGATCCTCAGATTCTGACATCTCCAAACGCACCCGGCAGAGCCTATCCATCTGAAGTGTTTCCAGCGTCAGCCTCCTGGATGTAATCTAATTAGGGTACAAAACATATCAGAATCAAAGAGGAGGCTTTCACTCTGAGGACGCAGAGAGAGAAGAAATCAATAAAAAAGAATTTTTTTTTAACTTTCTGCTGAAGAGCTTAAGAATGTAAAATACATAAAATGTTAACCCTCTCAGGATATATATTTTATATCCTGTAGGAGGCACTTACATTCTCAGCGATTATCAAAAAAATACCCAATGCTTAAATGAACTAGGTGTCAGATGTGCTTTAAAATGAGGCGGTGTTGGGAAGGATATGGGGGTATGAAAGAGGGAAGACTGAGTTTATCATTGTAGCTGGGTGGGGGGTCCCTAGGGGTCCATTACATTTCCCTATATTATTCCATTATAGAGTATTTTTAAGAGATGCATGAAAAGAATGTACTATGTATGCACTATATCGTGTTTAATAACACTTCTGCTCTGGAAAGTGGAAATATCGCTTCAAACACTAACAGCAACGCGCGTCCCACACCTGCCATACTTTTTGGTTGGGAGACTACACGCCACTGTTTCAGATCTGCTGGGACAAAACCATCCCAAACCCTCCCAAGTTACAGCTCCTGAGGACAGCAGCCGAGAGCTCAAATGCAACGGAAAAGTTAGTGAGTTTCTGAGAAACAAACAAAATTACTAACCAGGGGTTTTGCTTAAAATCTCACAAGAACCCTAATCCAATACCAGAAGCATTTTTATCCCTCGTGTCAAGCAGGTAAACGCCTCCCAGATGACGGCAAGTAAGAGGGGCCCCAAAACGAGCCCCAGCCTCCACGGGGTTGAGAGCGGGCCAGAAGCAGCAGCGCAGAGGTGAGGCCGGGTCCCCGCGAAGGCGCACCCGCGCCTCGGAGCCTGGGACTCGGCGGCTCCCACCGGGGCCTACCGCACGGAGGTGGAGGAGCCCGACGAGTGGTTCGGGGGCGCCCCCTGAGGTCCAGCGGCGTCACCGCACCTTCGGAAAACCGCAAGCGCGAGTCCCCCAAGGCTCTGACATTTTAACTTTGCCCGGTTCCCACTGCCGGCTGCACTTTTCCAAACCACAGCCCGCCCCTTCCGCGCGACTCACACCACTGCCCTGTCCCCACCCGACACCTTGCGGCTCCGGGGCAGGGGACGGGCCATTCACCTCGCACCGTGGGCACGGAAAGAAATGTAAACGACGAAAACTGTCCAAGCCCCACGAGGGCGGCATGACTGGCATCCCATTTTGGGTTTCCAGCGTCCTGAGAGCAGGAAAAGGGGAATCACGGCCGGCCCACTCGCTGGCTGCACGCCGAGCGTAAGGAGAAGCCAGAGTGGAATTAAAAATCCCTCCTGTTTCGCAAGGCCGCTCACCTGCTGCCCCCAGGAACGCGTGACCCGTACCAAGCTCGACCCCAGTGTGCACCTGAGCTCACTCGGCCGGCTAGTCCGCAGCACACAAGTCTAGAAAGAGCAGATGACTAACGGCACCACTCAGCAGTGGTCTTTGAAGGGGGAGAGGGCATCATGAAGGGGACATGTCCACGCCGCCCCAGCCCCATGGAGGCAGGGCTCTGGTGGGCAGACCCCAGGCCTCAGGGCGAGTGGGGACGCACGTCCTCTCTCAGCATCGAGCTGGGTTTCTGGGCTGAGGCTGAAGCTCAGTGCAGTTCCAGGGGCAGGACAATGCGCAGAGGGACAGCGGGTGCCGCGGAGAGGGCGATGCTCGGCCTCTCGGCCCCTCGAGGCCGCCCCAGTGCCTGCAAAGGAGACACTCGCTACCGGTCCCCGGGGCAGCAAGCGCGCCCGTGCCCTCTGTAGGGCGCACCGCGGAGCTGAGGGACCCTCTGCACCAAAACCGAGCGCTCGGGACGCCCGGGGGCAGGCGGCTGTGACCAGGGAAAGCAAAACACATCGAGGCACGTTTCCCTTTTTTTATTTCAGATAACCCCCGCCTCTGGGTATCGTGGAGCTGGTGGATGAGAAGGCATAAAAAGCCTCCTAAGGACAGAAGGGTGAAAAAAACGAATCGCCCCCTTCTTCCCACCCCTTCCCCAGCTAGGGCACAGACCGTGGCCTCCGCCCCGGAGGAGGCGGCTGGACGGATTCAAGGGAGCTCGGGGCTGCAGCCCGGAGGGCCTGCAGGATGGTAGAGGGAGGCGGATGGCCTCTCCCTCCACGAGGGTAAAGAGTAAGGTGGGTTGGGGGGAGTCTGCTGGTGGGGGGCTAGAAGTGGGCACCCTGCTACATGCGGTTACTTATTATCTTCAACGATGGTCAATAATGTCCCTGTCTTAACCCGGTCAGAAAGGAGCGGGTCTGGGTCTGCCTGCCGCGAACAGCCTGCAAAAGGGCAAAGATGAAGGTAGGCAGGCGCGCGAAAGGGGAAAAATCCGCCCCGGCTCGAACAGCAACCTAGTTG